GGCTCAAAAGCTGAGCAAGTTTTACAAAAGTCAAATATTGCTTGCCTTTTTTAAAGCCCATCTGACTTCAGCATTTTGCATTCTCCCTCCAGGTCTGTCACCCAATCCCCAAAGCATCCTCCCTTGTTTCTTAAGTTGCATTACTGCATAGCACTATTCAAGCAGCAGTATTATAGTTATTATCAGTGGTGCTACGAGGACTGGCCCATCAGACACAGGACTGGGGCTGTGCAAAGTCACCACAGTTTAAAAAAAAATGTTCAGAATAAGTTGTGTCTGCTGCAGAGCAAAACTGTATCCACCCTTGGCATCTTCATCCTCTCAGGCACAGGCCCAGAGAATCTGTGGTAAAATCAAGATGCTGCGTAACTGCTGCTTCATTCTGCAATATGCTTGCTTGCTTCTTAAAGTTAAAAAAGCATGTGCCGCTGCTTGGTAAGAGGAAAAAGGAAAAACCCAGATGCATGACCTGAGGCAATAAAGAGAGAATATAGAACTTTCTCAGCTGTTTTCTGAGGTTGGGAAAGTGATCTCGGCCAGAGAGGGGGGCATTCCAGTGGTACAAAGGGAAGAGACTGGAAATGCCAGAACACAAGTTATCCAGAGCTTCCTCTAGTCTCCCCCCATCCCAAAATACTCTTACTAGAGGGGCAAAAAAGCCCATCCAGCAAAAATATAGGGTGGGAAGATGGGGAGATGAAGATTGACTTCACCATTCCTCCACCCAGAATTGGATGAGTAGAAGCCTCTTGAGTTCGGGGGTCTAAAATTATTGCAGTAGGACTGTACCCTAATCCACAGCTGTCTTTTAAAGAAGAGATCCAATTCAGTGGAGATTTAAAAAATGGCAAAGATTTTACCTTAGAACTTTTTTTGATAGTGCTTAAGATGCAACAGGAATATCTTGTGACCTTTATATCCAACTGTATTGAAATTGCTCAAAGCATATCAGACTGTTTTTACTAGATTCTTAATATAGATCTAAACTCTGTTGAACTCTTGTCTCTTATGTCTGATAGTTTATGACTTCAAATATGAGAAGTAAGCTTTTGATCTGAAGAAATATCTATAAGTATAGTGGTACCTATGGAATGTAGCAAGCTATTTCGACTCTTCTTGTAGTTTCCAAAAGCATTTAAGCCTATTTCACATCAGTGGTCTTGCTAATCATTATAGCATTGAGATATCTTGAGATGAAGCAGGAGAAAGGCTTTTCTAGAGATGAAAAAGCAAGAACTTAAAGGAGCTCTTCATAAATCATACTTCACAGTCACGAGAGCATGGATAATCAACTGAGTCACAAAATGTAACTGCCAATCAGGGATCAATGTAAAGGGATTTCACTTCTTATAAAACTCTCATAATTTCTAAGCCTAAAATTGCCACTGCTCTTAGAGAAAATGAGGCAATGCAATGAACCAGTTTGTTTCCAGTGGAAGAGTTAAAAGGGGTCATAATTAAGTACTGTCTTGACTTCAAAGTGACTTCTAACATGTCATCCAGAGACCATATTTGGCTGCTGAGAAATAACAGAAGATAGATATTTTGTTAATCTTAACTGCTTTATTTTAATTGTATGCATTTTTTCTGGTAGAGATAGCTTAGGGAAGTCATTTGGGAGGAAATAACACTTTTTATGTGCAGAATTTAAAGACTGTCCCTATAAGCTTTTTATGTAGTCTACAATACTATAGATCAGGGGTCCTCAAACTTTTTCACCAGGGGACCAGTTGAAAGCTGCTGGTGCTGGGTGCGGGCTGAAAAAGTGGTGCCTGGTGGTGCGCATGGGCTGGCAAGGGGGCGGGGGCGGTGCGCTTAGGTGGGGGCGGGGCACACGGCAAGGGGAGGGGAGGCGTGGGGCATGCACGCGGTGAGGGGAGGTGAGGCAGGGGCAGGCAGGCACAAGGCAGCAGCTTGCTTGCTTGGAGATTGTATTCTCCAAGCGAGCAAACTGCTGCCTCCCGCACGCGGGGCGAGGTGGGTGGCGGCAGGCACACGTATGGGCGCACACATGGTGGGTCCAAATGGGCACAGCAGGACGGATAAATGGACATGGTGGGCTGGATCCTGCCCCCGGGCTGTAGTTTGAGGACCCATGCTATAGATAAATGAGCTATCTAGTTTGATGGAATCCATGCATTGTTCAACACCTATATTTTGCAAGAAGAGTTTCAGATTTTGGGAAATTAGGATGGCAGCTCATTTCCAGAATTACTTTTACAATTGATAACTCCCCAGTGCATAAGCACTCAGTTCTGCTGTTACAACACAGTCAAGAGCAAAGGAATGCATCAACCTGAATGGAATATAATTCTGTGCTGCCTACAGCTGAGTTCATGGTCAGCTGCTAAAAATAAAAAAGTTGACAAACTGGGTTATCAAATTGAATATATCAGTTTCAAGACATGCTGATAAAATATGAGCATGTGTTTGTGTGCATGTGCATGAAAACATGTCTTTTTAAGAATCATACATAAACTTCAACAATAGCAGGCCAAATATGCATAAGTATCCATTCCTATTTAGTATTTAGATCAAAATCTGCCATAGGTCCTCAATTCACTGGATTATAGAAGGAGAGATTTTATTTTTTTAATATTGTAATATCAGTGTTTTAGTTGCCCAAAGGGCATGGAGAATCCAGTTGCACTGACCATGTGTAAACTTCCAGAAAGCAGGTAGATAATTTAAGAGGAAATGTACATCAAATAAGGTATATCCATATAATAACCTCCTCCCTGTAGGAAACAACTATTGGGCATTACCAGAACATACATTTAAAGGAAGATTACCTGTGTCACTCCTCTAACCATTAGCCCACCTACATAAAATCCTATTAAAGAGATACTGAACAGCCATGGAATATGAATTTTTTGCTAGATGCTTCAGATAGAGACACATAAATTAATTGATTAGACAAAATGGGACAATCCAGTTCCCTGTTCCATTTCTTTTAAAACCCTGCATTATCATATTTATTCAGCAATACAAAGTATAAAGATGGATCATGGGTCAATATGACTTATCAGTCTCTATAAGGGCTTCTACTAGTTAAGGGGACTCTGAAACAATAAAAGCAACAGTGTCAAACCTAGATCCTCAGAAATGTTACATTTGTAAGCACTAACATTCATTTTACGTAGCTACAATTAACTGTTTTTGTTAAAAAGTTACAATAGAAAATCATCGTCACCATCATCAAAAAGGTTAGGTTGCTGAAGGTATGATTTAAGTTCCAGGCAGATATACAGGAGGAGCCACGTATCCACAGGGAATAGGTTCCAAGCCCCCAGCAGGTGCCTGAAACCATGAATAGTAGCAAGCACTATATATTGTACATAGCTATGATGAAGTTTTAAATTTATAAATTAAATTTAAAAATTAGACACAATAAGACTTTAACAACAATAACTAATAATAAAATAGAAAACATATAATAATAAAAGTTATGTGAATGTGCTCTCTCTCAAATATTTATTGTATGGTTTTCAACCTCAACCAAGACTACTACTAAGTCACTGACACCTGGGTAGCATATACAGTGTGGATACACTGGACAAAGGGATGATAAACATCCTAGGCAGGACTGTATTTCATCATGGTACTCAGAACAGCACATGAATTATGACTGTTTAATGTATGTTTGGAATTTTCTATTTAATTTTTTTGGAACATGGTCAACTGAGGTTAAGTGATACTGTGGTAACTGAAACAGCAGATACGGGGTTTTTACTGTATATGATAAATATAAATCAGATCAATCAGTTGATTAAATAAACAAATTGTTTATTACTATTTCTAACCATATCCTCCTCTCATATCAGAAAACAAATGGTTAGCTGCTTTTATTTTCACAGAGGACAATGCAAATTGTTCCATCAAAAGTATATACAGGATTAGATTTTACATCCAGAATCCTATACACACTTATATGGGACTAACTCTTTGAACACAGTGGGACTTCAAAATAAAGATACATACACTGCACATGCACAACTTTTCAATTCACATTTTTTTGCTGCTGTTCCAATAAATTGCTACATATCACAATTGGTTACACTTCATGGAATGAAAGCACTAAAAGTGCAATCCTATGCCTGCTGCCCAACTGTATGTTCCAATATATTCAGTGGGGGTTTTTCTCTTGTGGTTGGAGCCTAAGAATCTTGTTGTAATGGTAGCCAATGACCCCATAGTCAAGAAATTACATTATAATTGATATGTGTGTTGGTCTGATGCTTTTTTTCTTCCTAAAATGTCTTGCATAGTTATTGATTTATATTGTATTTACAATGTCAGCTGAAAAGCCGTATGTTACAAGCAGATAAGAAACTCAAACTGAAGAAATAGTTTTATACTACACAGGCAGGCAAGGTGTAATTTATAAATTAGTTGAACCTTTCAAGAAATCCTAAGCTTTTAGAATCATTTTGTCCTTTCCACAGCTGGACACGTATCTGCCATTTTCCATTGCACCCGTGTAAGAACGACAATGCCACCAACTAAATGTTCTTTTCAAATTCCTTATCTGGCTAAAACAAAACAAAATCAGGGAAGTTTGTGCAATTATACCCAGACTCTACACTTCGTTGTATATTTGCACATTATTTTGTTCCTCTGTTCTGAGAAATATTTCGTGTGTGCAACACTAAAATTCGTCCTCGGAGCGCCTTCACCAAATTCTTCACATTTCACCCCAAGGACAGTCTTTTTAAGAGTAACTCATCCAAATACTTACCAATTCAAGAGAATCAGGTGTATGGTCAATGATCCTATATAGTACCCTTAAAAAGGAAGGAGGGGACAATCCTCCTAGAAGTGAGACTGTACGTCTCCTAATACTTTCCGTTGTGGATTCTGATGTGCCATTTTTACAGAGACCTTAGTGGGTTCAGAGGCAAACCTGCAGTCCTTTACCGGCCGGAGTGGAGGAGCGTGAGGGGAGCCCTTTAAAAGTGTGGAGGCGCCTTGATATCACCAAGGGGGAGGGGAACCCCCGATAAGGGGCATGCTCCTTGAAGATCCCCTGCACTCTGGAGAATCCGAGCTGTCCCCACACCCCTTTTTCCTCCACTACAGGCAACCCTGTCCTGCCCCGCCGCCACCGTCATAAAGGGATCCTAGCACATATTCCCCCTCCGAAATGTTATGTCGGCTTCGGTTCTCCATCCCGACAAGAAAGCATCACAGGCCGGTCCTCCCTCCGTGCACACACTTCCCTTCCGTCGCCCCACTCCCTAACGCTGTGCCCGCGTGAGGCGGTCGGGGGAGCGCGCGCTGCGCGGTAACTTTCCTCTCAAGCAGCCTTTTCGCTGAGCCCCCCTCTGCCCCCGCGTGCGCGCGCGTGTCGTGCGTGCTCGCGCGCGACACCGCAGTGGAAGCTGGAGACGAGTTGCCGTTGCCGCCGCGATTTGGGCGGGCTGGACAGCTGAGGGAAGGCAGCAGAATCCCCAACGCGGCAGGAGCCAGAGCAAGGACGTGCGACGGGGAGCCAAATAGGGGAGGGGGACCAATAACCTAGCCAGCCATTCAGAAGCAGAGAATTCTTGTCTCCTCAGCAACGGGCCTGGATGGCCAAGACTGCGCCTCCCCTCTCACGCCCTGTTGGTCGTTAGTATCTCCCTCACTCTTAGCCTGCTTCTGCCTGGCACAGCCTCCCACCCTTCCCTTCCCTTGAACTAGAATGTTGTCTGAAGGTGGGGAAGATTCGTTCTTCCTCTTCCCCCCCGCTCCTTTTTCTTCCACACTCCACCCAGAAATGATCCGGTGAAAATAGGAGGAGGAGGAGGTGATTTTTCCCTCCCTCCTACTGCTGCTCCTTTTTCTGCTGGTCTGTGAAGGCTGCAGGAATATCCTCATCGCTCAGTTTGTTTGATGGACGAGCAGGAGATATTTTCGTGAAGTGGGTAATCTTGACAGGGAAGAAGGGAATAGCCTATATAATATTTTGGGGGTTAGGGTGGTGAGTGAGAAGGTTCTCCGATGAATCCCGACCATGGGGAAGGACCAGGAACTGCTGGAAGCTGCTCGCACTGGGAATGTGGCATTGGTGGACAAACTCTTGGCTGGCAGGAAAGGCGGGCTCCTGGGCAGTGGATCTGGACCTATTCCTTTATCCAACTTGCTGAGGTAGGGATATGCTTCCCCATCAGCTGCTGGGGCTAGTAACTTCCGCCTCATCACCATCACCATCATTATCATCATCTTCATTCTGGCCAGTATTATTCATAGTAACTCTAAATTGTGTCTCCTCTGAGCATGTACAACTGAGCTAGACGTTTGTGTTACATGTTTATGCGTCTCAAAGTCACTGGTTTTTATATTAATACCCCCTCCTCCCCAATGCGTCAGCAGGTACTTGCCTTTCCTCTATTACTTGCACTGGTGCAGAACTTTGGAATATATGGGCAGCTTGACATGCTATTATTAGTGTTATTCTGCACAGCTTTTCTTTTTCTATATGACAAAAACATTAATTTTGAAATTAAACTATTGCATATTTATTATTGTATGGGAATTAGCTTTTTTCTCTTGCCTATGCTTAGAGTCCTCAGTTGCAGGAAAAATTAACTGTGTCTAATTAATAAGGTTGTACAGTGAAGCAATGTAAATCACATAGAATAACTAAAATACATGCAGCAGGTGATCACAAATTTTAGAATTATATGACACTGGGTTATTAAGCATTTCTAGATGAAGGGAACCAACTTCTAATCCAGAGGGACCTCATGCAATATATTAGACAGCATTTAATGTTAGCAATTAATAGTGTAATATTAAATATTATGCTGCAGGTGAGAAGACAATTTTAAAAAGCATTTCACTTTAGTCAAGTAAAAGAAGGTCTGCCGCATACATTTCCTCTATTAAGACTAGCCCAAGAACCAGCATAGCATGGTAAAATAAATTGATGGGGTATTGATCTAAAACTTGAACTAATCATTGACTGTATTCCACTGAAAAGAACAGGCCTGAAGTAATGATAGTAGTTTCTGAGACAGGCACAGAAAGAAAAAAGGCAAGAGTTTTCCAGGATTCTCCACAGTAACAGGTTTATTATTTTATCAAGCTGCCACATTATCTCTATGCAAATATAAAGTTTTTAAAGGTGTTTAATTTTTTCATTTTTGTAATCTGCAGTTCAGATGGCCATGCAGTTTCTGGAAGTAATAGTAACATAATTTTGGTTAGCATGCTGCTTGTCATAGTGAATTTACAGATAACTCTTAGTATTATAATGACACAATCTGTGTAAAAAGGATAATGTGAGCTGATTAGATGGATTTTAAGGGAAGTATCATTAAATAAATGTGATACGTACAACTACACAGCTGTACCAACATTTCATAGTGACATGGTTAGTCTCAATTTCTACTGTCTAGTCCGATTTACTTTTTTAGGATTCATTTTGATAAATGTATTATTTGTTGTACAAAGTCTTTAAAATGATTTTGTTCACTTTCTTACTTCGTTCACTTGCCCATTCTTTTCAACAGAAAATATGGAGAGATGTATGCTATGTAGTGTGAATATTGTAACAGTAAAAATTGAATAAAATTGTTGATTACTAAAAGTATTAGTTATATTGCATGTTATCCACTGGCAGAATTAGATGATTAGACTATGGATGTACTATTCATTTGTGGGTATTATGGCCTTTAAATGGCCAGGTACCATGTGTATTACTTGAGTTGTAAAACACCAAACAAACATTATCTTTCTATACCCTGTTAGCTATTCTGTATTTTGTAACTGCTTCCATATTCCCTATATTTTAGAAGGTTTGCCAGCTGAGTATGTGCTTTTTTGCCATTCAAACCCACATAAAGTGTAGCATCATTATGACTATAGGAATAAAATGAAGTTTGCTTCTGCTACCTTGATGCCCTCATCACCTGCTACTGTCTGGGTGCTTATTTAGGGACGCCTTGGGCTGCAAGACTCTGGCCTTGAGGTCCAGCCTAAACTGCACCACTGTGGCTGTTGAATACTATTCTTTTTAATAACATATTGCATATTATTCCTTAGGACTTGTTAAAAACAAGTGAACATATAAAAGGTACAAAAACAATGTGTAAACAACTTTAAAAATGCATGTATTTATCAGCAAGACTGGAAAATATTTCTAAGATTTTCTTAGAAAAGGAAATCTATTTTTTTTCTGATTCTGTGAGCTAGCTAGTATGAAATATGTAAAATGCAGTGCAGAAAATAGATCAAGACACTAGCATTACACTGTAGGTCCTTGAGTAACCCCATCTTGTTCATTCTAATCTATAACTTACAGCTTTTTGGTAGTGTAATATTCATAAATGTGAATTATGTCAGATATATTCATTAATTTGAAATGTGTAATCCCCCCCCCACACACACTTCAGTGTTTACATTATAGCACTAATCTTTGATCACCATTAAACAGTTGCTGGCGATTTTGAATGCACTTGTGGCTGCAGAACATGGCTTTTACTAGCAGGAAGTTGTTTTTATCATGTTTATCATGTTTTGTCTTTATCATTCCAATTTTAATTGAACATACAAATGTGAAAATTTGGACTTTTAAAGTAGAATCTTTGCTTTAATGAGTTCAATAAAGGTGAACAAAGCTTGTATGAGCATATATAAGCAAGTATGAATTTCATTGTTTCATGAGTGGCAGGGTGCTGGGAGAGGAAATGATTTCTTCTAATACTGAACTCAGCTGGTTTATTTATTTATGTTATTCATAGCAGGTTCTATGTATATAAAGCTTAGAAGCAAAATAGGGCTACCCAGAAATAAGTGGTTTCAATATACTTGGGAGAGGAGTGATACACAGAACTATTTTAGTTCATAAATTGAAAGTAAAATATCTATGAGGTTTCAGGACAATGGGATGTTGGGAGTGGCTAAGACATGGAATATTGAGGGTGACAGTTGAGACAGGAAAAGGAAATTAGAAAGGAGGGACTACCAAGTTGGCTAACTTAAAAGACAGAGAGATTCTTACCAAAACTTTTAGAAACTTTTCTCTACCTTTAACTGAGAGGTTTTAGAAGGAAAGCGAGAAAAGGACACCTTTCTCTTCTTCTCTTTCTCAGGAATCTCACCTGACACCAATATTTAGCAGGAATCACTTCTGAATATGAGTCCTTCAGTGCTATGGGGCATGCCAGAGATAACTCATGTAGGAACATAAGAAAACTCATACTGGAGTAGACCAAGGGTCCATCAAATCCAACATTCTGTTCACAGAATGGCCAACCAGTTGCCTCTGAGAAACTCAAAAGTAGAGTGCAATAACATCTCCCACTTGTGTTTCCTAGCAACTGGTATATATATGAACACTATAAATGCAGGAGGTAGCATATAGCTATTGGGACTAGTAGTCCCCGATAGCCTTTTCTTTCAGGAGTTTGCCTTGTCTGATTTAAAGACATCAGGATTAGTGGCCACATGTTGTGATAGTGAATCCAACAGCTCAATTGTATACTGTGTAAAAACATCCTTCCTCTTTCAGCAATGAAATTGCTGGTACTGCAGGTTTTACTATTAACAAAGAGTGGCATAAAAGTCTGTCTATCTACTTTCTCCACACTGTGTATGATTTTGTACATCTCTTTCATATTTCCCTATGTTTGTTTTCCCTAAACCAAATAGTCCCAGAAGTTGTAACCTTTCCTTGTAGGGAAGTTGCTTCAAGGGCTTGATTATCCTTGTTGCCCATTCTGCAGTTTGTCCAACTCTACTGTATCCTTTTTAGGTCTCATGACCAAAACAGAACACAATATTCCAAGTAGGGTTGCACAGAACCTTTGTATAAAGGCGGTATGACATGGGCATTTTGATTCCTCTTGCCAAGTGGCTAACCAGATAGCACTACTGACAGATGCTGTTTTGTGCAACACTCATTGGTATCCCTATTCCACCCACCTCCTGTCCTAAATACCTGCTTTGGGACAGGAGCAGGCAATCAGCTGGTCAGTGCTGGAAAAAGAGCAGCATCTCTCACGTAATTCCCCCTTTGTCCCTCTCATATGCCCAAGAGAAGCCCGTCATGTGCAAGTCGGAGGGGTGAAAGTCATCTGGCTGATGGTGCTTAGCTGTAGGCTGTGTGACTCAGCAGATTCCTCCTCTACCACCCCTCTCATGCAGCAAAGGGAAGCCCCTTTTACACATGACCAGGAGGAGTGAGAATTAGCTGAGTGGTGGCATCCAGTTGGGGGTTCTGTGCCTTCACTGGATTTCTCCTGAGCTTCTCCTCTGGTATGTCAGAGGGAGGCACCTTTTGCATGTGAGCAGAAGGGGTGCAAATCAGCTGGGTGCTGGTACCTGGTTGGAGGCTGCATGTCGCAGCAGGTTCTCTTATCATCCTTCTTTCCTGCTCTCATGGCCAGTAGAGGTGTTCTCAACCCAGTACTCATCCATCTGAGTGCCTTTCTAACAAGTGGCAGTGAAGAGGGGAAGTGGCACTTTTCCCTTTTTTTGCTCTGGTGTGCCTGAGAGGTGTTTCCAGTGGGTACAAGTTGGAGAAAGAATGCGAGCTGGTGGAAGAATCCACTGGGGCACATATCCCCCAACCAGTCACTGCTGCCGAACTGATTCCTCTTCCACTCACATGTGTTCTTTTCTGTAGTGCTGTCCAGGAGATTTCCCTAGCCTTTTGCCTGAATGTGGAGTAGGAACTCCTCTTCTGTTCCAATGGCCTGCTTTGGAGCAGGAGGCAGTGCTTGATTAGCTCTCTTTTCTGCTGCACATGTCCCATTTGTGCAACAGAGACTGCTTGACAGCAACAGTGAGGTGAATTTGAATCAGAATCATGGCTGTCAAAGAGGGAAGCCTCATTCCTTCCTGTGGTGCCTCCTGAGATATCACATGGAGGAATGAGAGGGTAGGAGATGGCAGGAGGGAGAGAAGAGCTGCTGCAATGAACCTGATCATCTGTCAGACACATGGTAAAAAACCCATGAACTATTGCAGCCATGCAAGGTTGCTTGTCATGATGTGTGAAACCATTCAGAATCTGGCAGTTAACCCTTGTCCACATGTGTATTGAGCTTTTCAAAGAAGTCTAACTCCACTTGCCTTCCAGCTGGTTTCCTGCTTCTGATTTATTTACATCGTAAAGAATGCTTTATTATTGTCTTTGACTT